TCAGTATCGCATCGGCAAAGCAATGCGATGCAATGCACTATAAATTGGTGGCATCATGAGTTTGCATCGCTTTCCAATACGATGCGGATGCAATGCATCACTTTTTCAATGCGATGCCGATGCAATGCATCGCTTTTTCGATGCAATACCAATACATGGCTACTTATCGCATCACATTGCATTGTTTCACCGTTGCTTATAGCTTGAAGATTATCAGCTAACTGGAGAGATGGCCCCACGCCCTCCGGATATCTGCTTGAATGCGGATATCCCCTCCGTTTTTCAGCCGAATGGGGCATCTGCACCCGCTTGCGGGTTCCTGTTGGCTGCAGCAGGTATCCGAGTGGGTATCCATGGATAAACCCCCTTTAAATGGGCGGAAAGGCAGCCGGATAGAAGGGTTTCCTTCCAGCTGGCAATGAATCTATCAAGATATCTAGCCCAGAAGAAGCTCACATTGGGTCTTTTTACCTCCCCGGGATTTATTCCAGAGCGGTTAACAGTAAAGTAAAAAAAGAATCTTCTTCTCTCATGAAAAATCACAAAAATGTTCAATTCTCTAGAAGGACGCAACAGCAGGTTATCAATTTGCTGAGCAGAATTTTCTTTCTTTGTTTGACAATTAGTCCGTAGTAATGGACAAAAAATACACAGCGGATCAAATCATACAATGCCCTGACAAATACTCCCCAGGATGCAACCAAAACACTGTTAGCGCGTTCAATGCTGGTGTTGCATTAAACTACAGCAACCCAGGTGCTCAGATGTATATCAACAGCGTGGTTGATGACCTCTACAGCTGGGGCGTCAGCTATGTGAAACTGGCCAGGATTTTACCCGGCTCTATGGTCAACCCTCCCAAATACTGGAAATGCAACACCACAGCCAATCTCATGGCCTGGAGAAAGGCGATCAATGAGCTGTATGAACAGAAGTGGCAGAAGCAAGGTCAGGAACAAATTGGGTTGGGTGCAAGCTAGAAAATCCCAACAAGTGCTGGTGTGACCATGGACAAATACGTGGACAGCTTCAGAGTTGAAAAAGATATTGATGCCTGCAGTGAGACACAGGGTTGGGTTCGGGCGGCCCGTTGGACGCCCAGCCCAATTACCATCCTTAACTGCCGCACTCTGGTCCTCTGTGTTAGGGTTGTTCTGGGGAGAGCAGGTGGGGGATCTTCAGGGTGCTGAGTCTTGATGGTATATTGAAAGATGAGGGATGTGCAAGGTGTACTGGATCTAAAACAAACTCCAAGTTCAAAGTTTGTGACATGTAAGTAACAGGCTCTCTATATATGTAACATCCCCGGTTCCAGTCCTCCACAGCTCATGACACTCTGTTGATGCAAATTTTAAGTGGAAAGGAGTGAGGGACCTTGATTTGATCTTGATAAGTGACATGACATTGGGGGAGTGCAAGACAATGGTCATCATCTGGGCAATGTTCGTATGTCTAAAAACTTCTTTTCTGAGTATTGCCGACATTGTCTTCACTTGTATGCTTTCTAAGTATCGACTCTTACTTTTGACTTGTTAATACTCCCCCAGGGCTTGGTACTCTGTTTGGGAGATGATCTGACAAAATTGCCAGAAGCTAGAAAGGCCTAACCCCGAAGTACCTTGACGGCTAGAAAGAAACTCTTGCAGCCAGCCATCTCCTCCTCTAGGCCTTGGTTATCCTTCGGGATACCCAGATATCCACCAGGGCTTTGGGGAAAAGGGGCCATCCGCACCCGAATCTGCGCCCCCTGGAGGGTATCCGTTGGCGCCAGGGGGTATCTGCCAGCGGATAGCGGGTATCCGCAACAGATACCCCGTGACCATCTCTAGCTAGCTTTAGCTGTTCTTTTATTTTATTATTGTTACTTGTTGTTAAGTAAACTATAGCCAAGCGGTCCACCATGAAGGAGGACGTGGTAAACCACTCTTGAAGAAGAGGCACACAAAATCAAAGCCCCAAGTACAATATCAAGCCCTCTAGAGGACAAGACCTTCAAGGATCAATACAAGCCCCTTCTGGAATATTCAGCTAACCTGCAACACCATGGATGTCACAAATTCAAGCCCCCTGGACAGAAACACACTTGATTCCCCATCACCTTTTCCTTATCACATAATCCTCTCATGCAGTCTTACATCATCAATCCCCATTCAGCCTTCCACACTTGGCCTCTGCATGCGTTTCAATCTAATCCAAATTCACTCTAGCCTCATTTCCCCTTTGGGCCACATTTTGTTGTTTTGCACTATTCCTCTTGGGTTATTTTCTTGTCTCACACTAGTACACATTTGGCTAGTTCATTTATCCCTTGGGTATATTCTTCCTTCCTCATTGGTTGTGGCACATTTCATCCCTGCATGGCTCTGATGTCATTTTCCCCATTTATCTTAGTCCCTACCAATTTGGGCCACATTGTTTCATTTTGATAATTTTCTATTGTTCCATTTTGTTCCATGGTTTTTCCAACCACAAGCTATCCACTCTCCAGATTTCTTATATAAGGAGCCTTGTTTTCCCCTCTTCATTTATTCCTAATCTGATTGTGACTCAGCAATCCGGATAACTGATCACCATTCATCACCATTCATTAGCCTAGTAGTTGCCCATCAACATTTGGAATACTAGTATTATTCAGACAGAGGACCAGAAGACAGAAGACATACCCATCTCAGAATGCTCCAAAGCCCACACCTTTCCTTAAGAGTCCACACTCTTATCTTTTCCTTGTTATCTTACTCAACCCAGTTACCAGAGAGGCAGCTCATTAAAGCAACATTCCCTCTCCAGCTCTATTCATCCCAAAGAGTAGTTCCACAACACTCCTCCAGATGTGCCATCATCTCCTGATGCCATGAGTATGGACCTCAATGTGATTGGTGAGGCTCTGCCTTCTCTGCCAATTCTGGCTCCAGCTCCGATCTCTTCTCCCCGTGAGGTTTCCACTGTCTGCATCTGTCAGCCTCTATGCTACTAACCTGAGTGGGTTGTGCTATGAGTGTTAACAAAAAGGTTTAATGAAAGGCTTATTCGTGGTAAGAATTCCTCAACCTGTAAAAGAAACAGGGAGGAGTCAGTGAGGAATGGTACTTCTACTGCTGACTCATCCAATTGTTCAATTGGGCATCCAGATCAATCCTGTTACGTGGATTAATAGGCTTCCAATGTGAGGAGTTCTTCTACTCACTTGGGATCAAGTCTTTTAACAACAATCCAGATGAATAAGTGTATGTACACTCAAGGACCAGAATTGTTTAACCAGGGGGATAATTCTTTATGCAATAGAGATAAGTAGAAATGCCTTGAGTATGAGCAAAGTAAATCTATTTAGGTCTAAGTTAGCTGGGTTGTAAGGTTATTGGTGGTTTGAATCACTAATAATCACGGTACAAGTGTTGGTTTGATGCTACTAGAATTTCCTGTATTCAATTAGTTATTATTATTTGCAGTTACTAGGTACATTTCACGTACTGTGAAAGGTGCTCTGTGGCTGACAGCATCAGTGGTGCTGCTCTCTCTGCTCACCCATCATCCCCAACTCCCTTGGTCCCTTTGGGCCAAGGTGGTGGGGGTGCTTGAGCTTGCGGTCGTGCCCAAAATGGTGGCCGGCCTTGCCTTCGTGGTCTTGAGCCAGTTCAAGTCTGTGGTCAAGGCTGTGGTTTTGTCCCGGATCCAAGCTGTGGTAGAGGCGGTGCTTCTGGAAGCAACACCCTGCCTCAAGGTTCAGTAAGTTTTTTTTCTTGAATGCTTTAAGTTCCATGAGCTTGAGTGCTTAAAACACTGATCCTATCTTATTATTTTTAATCCTTTTATCAGTTTAGGTTGTTTTCAACTGAGCAGCCGTGGGGAGAGGTGCTACACCCCCTTCAGCTCCCAGGGTTAGTAAAATTCCTAGCCCACAGCCAGCGGTGGGCCAGCTACGCTAACCGTAGCATTAGCGTGGCGTAGTGTAGCAAAAAATCACTACAATGTAGCAAAGCGTTAGCACGTTTTTCAATTTCTGCGCTAACGCTACGCGCGTGGGGGAAAAATTTGCGCTAACATTTAGCATAGTGTTAGCGCGGTTCCCCCCATCTGCACTAACGCTACGCGCACAGGGCGCAAAAAACCGCCCGCTACGCTGCATTACAGCCATTTTTAGCGGTTTTTAGGCGTTTTTTGCCGCTAAAAACGCTGTAGCGTAGCGTAACGCAGCTTAGCAGCGCCAGCGGTGTGCTAAAACTACACCAAAATTTGGCTAGTGTTAGCGCCGCTACAAGTTAGCGTAGCGCAGCGGCAGTAGCAGCGCGCTAACACTACACGAAAAAATGGCGGCGCTACGCTAACACTACATGGGCCTGTAGAGTAGTGTAGCGTAGCGGCCCACCTCTGCCACAGCTCAGTCCAGGTGGTCCCTTCGATCAACATGGCTTGGTGACCTCAGCTCTTCAGCTGACAATAGCTGGGTGGAGCCCCATGTGCGCACTTGCACTCGAGTGCCATCCCCAAACCCATTTAGGTTCTACGGCAGCAATGACTACCATCAAGTGGCTTCACTCCTCAATTGTTGCCCTGAATTTGGTCAGTACAATAAATATCAGTTTGCACCTCAGCTTTACACTTAGAGATGGTCACTTCACATCCGGATATCCGCTCTTAATTTCAGCAGAATTAGGCAATTTTGCTGAAATTAAGAGCGGATATCCGGATATCAGCGGATATCTGGATGCGAAGCGACCATCTCTATTTACCCTTCCTTGTACCAGGAAGTGGCCTCAGCTCTTTTTTCCCATTTTACTTGACACCCAGCTGCTAAAACTTTTGACCACAAAGGGAGAGTTTCTCTTTTCCGATCAATTGCGCTCCAATATTAATCTGCCATGCGCCGTGTGCCTCCTTAGTTGTTAGTAAGCAATTCCTTCTTGGTTTCTGTCTTTTGTTGTTTCCATTACTGATTATTTTTAATGTCTTTGTTATTTGCTGTCTTCTTCTTTTGAATGGACAGTCCAGATCCCAGGGGTAAATTTTTTCCTAAAACTGTTGTGGTTGATGATCGTTGGTTTTCATTGCTTGTCCTTGATCCACCTCTTGTCCTCCTCTTACTCCAAATATGGAGTTTGCACACCCATACAACACCCCCCCTCAAACTCCACACCAGTGCATACAACCATGAGAATAAATAAATGAAAGAAATGATAACAAGATATAATGAGACCTTGATGTAAAAAATATTTAAGAATAGAAATTAAAATGAAGAGAGAAAAAAATTATAACCAGAGAAGAAGAGACCTTGAGTGAAAGATAATATCAGATATGTAAGAATTTTTTTTTTTTTTTTTTTTTTTTTTTTTTTATTTTGGAAATATTTTATTCAATGAAATAGAGTGAAGATTTGCCCGGAGAGACTTGGTGAAGAAATCAGCAATATTGGAGGAAGTTGAGACCCATTGGAGTTGAATGTTGTGTTCTCGGACAGCGTCATTCACAAAGAAGAAATTTCGCTCTAGACTCTTCATGCGACCTTTCGAAGCATTATCATCCGAGACCAATACTGCCGCTCTGTTGTCGCATTTCAGAAGGAGAGGCGGGTGTAGGTCAAGGGATTTGATGATGGGAATGAGAAATAAAAGAAAATCCACAGATGTTACAGGGGAGATGAATTCCGCTGCGCAGGTCGATGTTGCAACCCCTTTTTGCTGTCTCGAGCTCAAGCAATTGGGCTTGCCTAGAAAGGTGATGAAAAATCCAGATGTCGAACGTTGATATTCTCCGCCCCAGTTGGCATCAGACCACGTGACTAAAGAATCGGATGTTACTTCTAGTTTCAAACGTTTGTCTCTATTCGTTGCGAGGTATTGGATAAGATGTGAAAGAGCCGCCCAGTGTGTCTCGTTGGGATTAGAACTGAACCTTGCTAAATAATTAACCGCATAGCTGAGATCCGGCCTCGTGCCCAGAGCCAAATAATTGAGTGAGCCAATGAAAGATTGGTAGAGTGATGGCG